CGGCACATCTTCGAGGACCCCACGGCACAGAAGTTCCTCGAGTGGGCCAAGGACACCTACAGCCCCGACGAGCACGTGTGGGCCACGCTGACCCGCATGCCGGGCGTGCCGGGGGCTGTGCCCCACAACGACAAGTTCCAGCTGTCGGACATGAACGCCCTTCCCCGCCTGGTCAAGTGGGAGTACCTGGAGGGCGACCCCAGCAAGGGCGCGCCGTACCCGCCCTGCACCGGCCGCCACCAGCGCTCCGTCTGCATCTACGGGGCGGGCGACGTGCCCTGGCTGCTGCAGCAGCACCATCTCTTGGCCAACAAGTTCGACCCCGAGGTGGACGATGCGGCCATCCTGTGCCTCGAGGAGCACCTGCGCCACAGGGCCCTCTACGGCCGCGGGCTCTGAGGGGACCCGCCGGCACCGCCGCCCTCCTGGGCGAGCCTCGCCGCGGGGACAGCGCCAGGGATCCCCTGATCCCCCGATCCCTGCCGCGCACGGACAGCGGGGATCCCCTGATCCCCCCGATCCCTGCCGCGCACGGACAGCGGGGCGATCCCCCGATCCCTGCCGCGCACGGACAGCGGGGCGATCCCCCCATCGCTGGCCTGAGGGGCAGCTCGGCGGCCTGAGGGGCAGCGCAGGGCTCCGGACCGCGCAGGGCCGGGCGGGGCTCGGCTGAGGGGAGGGCGGGGGGCTCCGCTCTGCCCCGCTCCTCCTCGCACAGACCGCCTGGAGGAAGGGGGGGGGGGGGCGCGTTTTTCCTTCCCTTCCCGGGGTCTGCTCGCAAAAGTGACCCCAGCGCTCCTGCTCGGACACGGGCAGGGCCGGGGCACGCACCAGGTCCCTGCACGTCCTGCCCGGAGCGGAGCTCAAAGGGCGATTAATTCGCTTTTCCACAAAGCACCTGCAGCTCCCGCCCGGCCCCGGCACCCGGGGGGCTGCTCGTGCCCCACTCCAAACCATGACCCTGCCAATAGCCATTAGAAACAACACCAGCCTTCAATAAAGTCAAACAGGTACTGAAACAGATGGCGTTCCGGTATTCTGTGTCCCGGGGTTCCCTGAGAACGGCTGTGCTCCCGGGCAGAGCCATTAAACCAGGTAACCCTTCAGCACCCCCCTTCTCCGGCTGTAACACGGGCAGAGGATGCTCATGTGCTCAACAGGGTGCAAACGGACACTGTTCCAGTATCTTCATCTCTCCCCCTCCCACCCAAAGGTATTTCTGTGGTATTTTGGCAATGTAATTGTCATATCCAGTAGCAGATATGGCCATTTACATGAACAAACCACTCATCCAACACATTGTTTTCTTAAGTTTCTAGAAGCTGAAAGATTTATGAACTGTATTTCACCCACATGTATTTTTCTCACCTTCTTATACTCAAGCTTGCCACTTTTCCATGGATCCAACAGCTTCCCACTACCTGTAATGGTAAGGGATTAATTCCATTGTCTTTATACTACAAAAAAATTGGTCAAGTAATTTTTCTGTCAGTAAACATACTCACCTTTATGAATTTCAGGTCTACAATGAAGAATTAGCATTATAGAAAGAATATCTGAAGCAATTCCATAGCACGAGGCTACATTTAGATGAAGTTAGGACTTCAATCACACAGATCTTCAAAACATTGATTTAAATAGGATGAGAAGACAAAATAACTGACTTGAAAAGTTGTGTCATTGCAATTTTGTTAGACAGGTTAAAGTGAACTTGGTTGTGAAGTAGTGATCTTTAAAATGCCATGATGATTTCACAGCTAGCATTATTGGTAAGAACTCCGATAAGGAAAGTTCTCAAACAAAAATACCTGAGGTATCATTGGGCATTTGGTTATTCAGAGAGAGCAAATACAGTAATAGGATTGCTGGTCCCAGGGGGGAACTCTTTCCAACTTATGTAAGCAGAAATTTGCTGCAGAGATTACAGCTTTGTGCTAACCTGACAGTGACACAGAAAATTCAGAAATGGGTTCAGCACCAAGTTCAACCTATCTCCATGTCTAGTCTTTTAGAATGAACTTCTTTGCCTACTCAGGGTAAGAACTCAAGTCTCCCAGCATAGCAGACTGCATCTAACCCCTGCTGCCTAATCTGATTCTGCTTGTTGGAGCTCTTCCACTTGTTTTAAATTAACACATATTAGCTCAAAAGGGTGAACTACTGCCAGTGGGTTCCCTGGGGGACCGGGATATGCTCAAGTTTCTGGACTAAATCAGGCAGAGCAGGGTCACTGTGTTTCTAACTATAGCAAAGTGTTGCCTTTTTCCCTTAGGAAATGGAGGAAAGAGGTGCACATCCATGGAGACAAAAAAAAAAAATCCCCATACCTAAGAGTTCTAAGGAATTGCATCAAAACCAGACCCATCCATGAAACGGATGTCTGAAAGATCTAAACAATTTATTTCTCAACCTTCTACAGAGGTGTTTGGGGGGGTGGAAGGAATCCCAGCCTGAAATAGTCAAAGATTACTGAATGAGGGACCCCTCTATTATTTTGCAAATGTAAGAGATATACTTACAAGTTACTTACAGATTTGTTAAGTCATTTTTATCCCCTTCACTCTGTAAATATGTTTAACTTCTTCAGCTCAGAAACAGGAAGCACTGCTTGCATAAATAACAGTGTTTCATAAACTATTGACAGACACTTCCTGGCACAAAAATGTTACAGATGGAGAGACACAAGTATTTAGATCTGGTGTGGGGGGGGAAGTGCCACTTCAAATCTATGGTCAAATCCAATTTTCTCGATCCAAAGAAAATTTCCTGGGTTTGAGGGTGTTATTACTCTCAACTCAGATGATTTGGTTGCAAAAACAAAGGCCACCTTGGGCAAATTTATTTTCAACTCACCTCCTTTTAGTAGGGATTTAATTTCTTCTGAAAGAACAAGCCAACTCCCAAATCCTAAAGGTGAACTAAGACAAAAAGATTTTTACAAAGGAATGTTCTCAGCATTTCCTCTTCCAAAGACATTAGAAATATCAGATTCATGAGTGCAGTCACCTGTCAAAGCCGTGACACAGAAAAAATATTTGTCTCCTTAACACTACAAACAGCAATAAAAAATACCACTCATCTCTAACAGAGAACTTTGCATTCCAGAGATCTCAAAGTATCTTAGAAATAAGATTATCTGGCATCTCAATAAGTCTGCAACAGAGCATGGAGAAATCACGTAACTTGCCATGGTTGGCTGCAGAACTGAAAAAAGAATAAACCTGCAGTAGAGTAGCCCAAGGTAGCACCAGCACATCAGATTACAGGGTCACCTCCAAAAACAGCTTAAACCCCATAAGAACTTCATCAGTGAAATAATGGGCTGTCCAAGTGGGAAATACAGTCCTATCAGAAATACTGTCTAGTGAAAATCTGATGCTTCTGTCTACCAAATGATGCCTTCTGTTAACCAACAACCTAAACTTTAAACAAACCCCCAGCTGTTTAGGGAGGAAAGGTTCCAAATTATGCATGGGAGGAAGATGAAACTGTAATTCTGCAATCTAATACCAGACTTATTTTTCTGGTTTAAACCTGGCTTTAATTTATGTTTTATTTCCAAGTGGTTTTCACTTTATTTTTACAAGAACAACTCAACGTGAGCTCCATGTGGCTTCGTATATATTCACACAAACAGCTCTTTTTACCTCTAGTTAGGAGGGTCTGTTTCCTTCTTGCCTTGCATTCCTTTCATATTCTACATGATTATCTCTGAGATGTCCTACAATAAAAAGGTGGGTCAGTTAAAATGAATTCAGAGGAAAACAGGTGATAAATTCTGAAGAAATGAGAAGCAAACACGAGTAATACAAACAAAATACCAGAAAAGCATTTGCAGTCATAAGCAAAACTGATTGAGGGAGCAGTGTTAGGGTGTCTTTTTTCTCGCCATAAGAGTGATCATAAAACACTTAACAGGACTCTCAGTGGACTATTTTCCACTTCTCCTACTTTTCTCCCCACCCCGAAGCTTTAGACTTCAGAAAAGCAAACCCAAGTCAGTAGTACTTTAACTGAAATCCTCCCTCCCAGGATGCTGAGATCCTGAAATGCAGCATCTGTGCTCTAGATTGTGACTTCAGGCTGTCTCACTGTGCCAATCCACTGTGCAAAAGCACAGTGATCAAACTTGGCTTCTGGAAATTCATCATAAATTCTTCCCGCTCTCACTCGACTCTGTGTCTGTGATAACATTTGAAGTCAGGTACTAACAGCCCTGCCTGAGCAAACAGCTTACATCAGGGAACATCCTGGTCTGCACACCTATGAAATGGACAAAATCCTTGTTCTTGGAAACCGTGTTTAAACAGGAGGTCACCCACGGCCCCTCCTTATCCTTCCCTTTTCTTCACTTCCCTTTAGTTAATTTACTTTCTAAATAGAAACATCCATTTCAGCTCAACATCAAGGTCTAAAGGTATCTTTTACTTTCTTGCTGCTGCTGAGAAGTGGAAGCAACTTTCTTGAAGAAAATCAACAACAAAATAAATGAATTAAACGAATCATTCCATAACACACAGCAGAGAAGAACCAAAAGGCAGCAGCAAATATGCTGGTTCTGTAGCAAGTGAGATGATTTGTGCTCTGCTGGGTATTACAATAGCTTAGAATAACAAAGTGCAGTTCACACGTCCAGGTGTAAGTTCAACAAATCCTCCAGGACCACAAAGGACATTAACCATACGAACTCGGCAGGATTAGCTGGAATTCAAACAAACAAATAGCAAGTGGCAAGAAAGTTACGGAGAGAAAGGCAACAAAAAGCAGAAAGAACACTGCCACCAGATTCCATTAACTTCCCTCTGCTCCCCCCTCCTTCAGTGAACTGAAACAACCTCCACAGAAGGAGCAGATCCGGGACCTGGACAAACACCATCCCAGAAACAGGGTTAGAGCCAAAGAGAACGTGTGCTACCAAGCTGACCTCAGAACTTAAACAGTTTGGGGAGAATGTATTATATCAATGATTGTTTTTAAACAACGTTTTCCAATGATCACTCTTTCCAAAGTTTTTAAATAAAAGTTTATTACAGAAATTATTTTGAACAAAAAAGGCAACAGTATCTGTTGTAATTTAAAAAAAAAAAAAAAAGGTAATGTTGTATTCATGCCCTATAAAGTGAACTGAAGAAATGCTACAGGTATTTCTTCCGCTGCCATTCTGTGCCGCTCTCTAGCATGGATTAACTCACATCTGCACCACAAGAATTCAGGATGAACAGTCCCTTTCCAGGCTTCTCTCCAGAAAGTGCTGCATATCAACAGAAAATATTGCAGACGACCCCCAGTTCTGTTCATTCTGCAGTATTGGAACCAGTGTCTAGGAAAGACAAAAGAAAATGAGACTAATACCCACTGAGTATGAAGAGAACCAACAGCATGTCTGATGCCTTCCCCAGGTTCAGAAGTATACTGCTATTACTGCTTTGTTGTTTTTAGAGCCATGGCAAAGGTATGTCACTCCAAAAGGGAGCATGACAAGGCAGTGTTTACTGTGTTCCTTCAGCAGGACAACCTCTCGTGGGAAAAAAACCCCTGTAATGTTAATAGCAACCTTAAGTCAGCCAGTTCTTTAAATCTTATCTGCACACTTTATCAAGAGTGAACAGGATCAGTACTCAGAAAGTAAGGTTTCCTCCACTAGCTATAAGAACACCAAAAAAAATGGTAGGATTTTATGCTTGGCTGAGACCAGAAGTTGAGAAAACAGTAAATTCTGTCAGCTCTTTAGAACTACAACTTGAAGTGACTGTTGTAATCGTGCCAGAATCAGGAAGCTACAAAGAACCTGTTTCAGAGGTCTGTGGTGTATTTAAATACAGCTTTTCCCATTCTCAGTTCTTCCTTTTAGCATCACTCCCCAAGGACAAAACAAGTGGCACCATTTCACACATCTTCAGCAATACTCCGCCACATTAATGGTTTTAAAAGTTACAAACCAGCTTCCCACAAAAGTCACTAAATTACTTTTTCCCATAAAGAATTTCAAGGAACACTGAAAGCAGATATGGAATGTAAACTTCTGCAAGCAGTGTCCATACAGTGGGCCTGTTAGGCAATATGTAAGTCTTAAAAACATGACCTGCAAATGCTGGCATAACCTTTTCATGTGCTTGTGCCTCCCACTATCAAATTCAGCAAAGGATTGCTCGACGGTTTTCTCAGACAACTCCCTGCTCAGACTGTTGAAGCTCTCTTTGGATTTCATAAAACATGGAGCTATCCTGACAACGAGGTTAACAGGAGAAAAATCACCACACAAAAAGAACCACTGCTGACTTTCCAACTGCTCTAGGCTGTACTTCCCAGCAAGAGGTGCACAGCTGGCTCCAGCACAGTCCTCCCTCTGGGAAGCATTTAACCTGCTTTGGTTTCATCTCTCATCCCATGTGAAAGGGAGCGCAGAGCTCTACAATCAATCAGACATTTGGCCAAAGCCTTCTATAAATGATCAAGTCTCGTGTCCCACCTCACTTATATCGTATTCCATACTTACTTTTTCCATCACATGCTACAATTTTCACTTTATCCACTTTCACAAGTTCAGTGACCTCCCTGAATTCGACATCGTTCAGTACAAATGTCCACACGTTGTCACAGAACCTGTACGTGTTCAGAGACCCCTTAAAAAGACAAGAGACATTTTCTGTAGGACACACCCCAAAAGCAACAGAAAATACATAAAGTATCTACTGAACTATGTCCCTTCTAGAACCAGATATGCCATAAAGCCCCCAGTGAACCCGAATGCAGACAAGCTTGGCAGACAACAATTCTGAGGGAAACTGCAGCTTAAATGCCCTCCAGTGGCTGAACCTCTGAAAACCATGACAGTCTACCCAAGGGGAAGCTTCACAGGGAGGCCAAGAAGCTCTAAAACTTTTCTAATGGGGTTAAAGATCAGTATCAGAAAAGATTTCTTAAAACATTGGGCCATAAGAAAAATAATTCACAGCAGTGATCTCAACAAGATGTGAATTCTGCAGTTAAAAAGCAGAAATAAAGCACTGGTTTAGATAAATCATGACAAAACTGCCCTGTGTGACATAAAGGGTTCAGTCATGTTTGATGTGTTACTGAGGATGTTGATATGTGAACTTTTTGGCTTTCACCTTCAAACAGTTTAAACAAATACCCTTGAATTAAGCTCCAAGTAGCATTTAGTTTATCCACTAAACACAATGGGAACAGTTTTCCATACACAAAACAAGTGAAACGTGTTAGAGAGAAATCATGCTACTTTTAACATATCCACATTGCTTAAAAATTTAACAGCTTAAGAGCTCACTCCATTAATGTGTTCTACACAGACAGCAGAGGAAGTTAACAGGAAGCTGGGTTTTGTGGGTTTTTTTCTCAAAATTACTTTCAAGCTGACATTTAACAACTTGCTGGCTATTTGATATTAATTAAGGCAGTTGACTGGGAAAAACCCCCCAAACTTATTCTTCTATGATACCTACAGAAAAGAGCTACGAAATAATCCAGTGAAAAGGCAGATCTAAATCTCTCTTCATGTTACAGATGTGGCTGAAGATCTGCCCTCATCCCACTTTTGCTAAGTACAGCTGAAAGAAGCAAAGTCCCTCCCCTCATCTGCGAGACGCTGAGGGTGGCAATGCTGTCCATCAGAGCACTGCCCCCTTCCCTGTTTCCATCCACCCACCAAACCTATTTGTGCTGTTTGCGTTCTTTCAGCAGATCCCTGGCAGAACAAGGGAACAAGCCTCACAACTGCATGGGCAGTGCACACGTAAACAGTCATTGCAGCTGAAGTTTCTGCTTGGAGGACACAGCTTTTAATGACATTCTGCATCAACACTCAGTTACTGCACCTCGGGAGCAACTTTTACACACGGTTACCTTACCCTGAAATTCACTCTGTTCCTGACTCGTTGTGCCAGAGCCGAATTTATAGCTTTATCAAACTGAAGTAGCACCTGAAGGGCCAACTGAGGCGTGATTTGCTGAGACTAAAGTAGTTTGAGAAAAAAAGAAAAAGAAAGTTTTGAGTTGTTTCAAAGCAAACTCAAACACGCAGTAAGAGTTAAAAACATCAAAACAAAGTTATAAAGTTCACATGAAGCACTTCTCTAGAGGAATAGTTTTCAAAAATATTATGTTCCTGTGTTTATTTCCTTCTCTGTATTTCAACTCTGAGAGAAGAAACAATGTGCTATGATGATTTTTTTGTGCTCCACGAGGATTTCTTTTGATAAATATTCACTGGAAATAACCAGAAGCGCAGTAAGTTGATTACAATGTTCCAGCTTAATCTGGCAGTTCATTTACTGGGCCACACCACAGGAGATCATGCCATTTACATGAGACCTTCTCATTCATCCACGACGTGAAGAAAAAGACATTTCAAGTGAATGGAGGACAAAAGGCTTTAGATTTCAATCAGTAAGTTTCCAAAAATATATTTCCATAAATGCCCCGATTTGCAGCAACTACAGAGCCATTTTAAGGACTAACTCCTATTTGTATTGAGCTGATCCCACACACCCCACACCCTGTATGAGCTCGTCCAGGCTCTCCTGAGCTGATCCCACACACCTGTATGAGCTCGTCCAGGCTCTCCTGAGCTGATCCCACACACCCCACACACCTGTATGAGCTCGTCCAGGCTCTCCTGAGCTGATCCCACACACCCCATACACCTGTATGAGCTCGTCCAGGCTCTCCTGAGCTGATCCCACACACCCCATACACCTGTATGAGCTCGTCCAGGCTCTCCTGAGCTGATCCCACACACCCACACACCTGTATGAGCTCGTCCAGGCTCTCCTGGAGGCTGTTGCCCAGCGTGGTGTTCCTGTACAGCTGGTATGCCATGGTTTCACCGGCTCATCCACGGCCCCGCACCGGCGGTGTCCTCGCTCTCACTGAAAACAACCAAGCACCCAGCAATGAAGGGACCGCTGTCCCGCACAACCCGAGAGGCCCTCGGAGCGCCCGGGGCTGCGGGACCCACAGCGGGCGGACCCGGGAACGCTGCGGGAACCGCGGGCATTCCCAGCACAGCCGGGCCCTGCCCGGCCCCGGGAACCCCGGGTATTCCCAGCACAGCCGGGCCCTGCCCGGCCCCGGGAACCGCGGGCATTCCCGGGCACTCCCAGCACAGCCGGGCCCTGCCCGGCCCCGCGGCCCCTCCCGGCCCCGCCGCACAGCCCGCACCGGGGAAGGGGCCGGCCCCGGGAAGGCCGTTCCGGGATGCCCGTCCCGTGAGCCCCGGCCCCTGCACCGGCCCCCATCCCGATCCCGCTCCCGGCCCCGGTCCCTCCTCACCGCCGCTCACGGGCGGAAGCGCCGCGGCCCCGCCCGGGCCGGCCCCTGGCCCGGAAGCGGAACAGGCCGGTCCCACACGGACGGGGTGGGACCAAACACGGACACACAGACACACAGGGACACACAGACACACACGGACACACACGGACACACACGGACACACACGGACACACACGGACACACACAGACACACACGGATACACAGACACGGGCCGATCCCGCACGGACACACGGACGGGGTGGGATCCCACACGGACACACACACACAGACACACACGGACACACAGACACACACAGACACACACGGACACACGGACAGGGTGGGATCCCACACGGACACACAAGACAGTGTAGGATCCCACACGGACACACAGACACACACGGACACACAGACAGGGTGGGATCCCACACAGACAGGGTGGGATCCCACACGGACACACGGACACACACGGACACACGGACAGGGTGGGATGCCACACGGACACACGGACAGGGTGGGATGCCACACGGACACACAGACAGTGTAGGATCCTACATGGACACACAAACAGGGTGGGATCCCACACGGACACACAGGGACACACTCGGACACACAGACACGGGCCGATCCCACACGGACACACGGACAGGGTGGGATCCCACACGGACACACACGGACACACGGACAGTGTAGGATCCCACACGGACACACGGACAGGGTGGGACCCGACACGGACACACACGGACACACAGACAGGGTGGGATCCCACACGGACACACAGACACACACGGACACACAGACAGGGTGGGATGCCCCCCGGCCCCCAGGCCCGTCAGTGACAGCCACACCTCGGGCAGGGCTCCCCTGGCGCGGGCTCTGCCCCGCAATAACCCTGGCACATGGGGGGTCCCGTCACCCGCGACCCCTCGGAACACAGGAAACACAACTTATTTGGAAAGAAAGGGTCGTAATGCTCTTAAGAGGGAGGTGAAGAGTCTGGTACTTACGTTTTTTACATTAAAGGGACAGAGGAAAACAGCCACATCGGTGAGGAATGGTAGCAGCCAAATCACGCCAGCTGTATTATCCGTGATTCACAAGCTCTGCTCTGTGATTGCTGCACTGTGTTAAATACTGCACATTTCCCACATCACACATTAGAATTTACAGATACTGCCAATGTAATCCTGCTCTGGTAACCCTTTATCGCTCATTCAACCATTCAAGCAGCCCACTGGTCAGCCCTGACTTGCTAATGATGACTAAGAAAGACTGCAGAACTGCAGAGCCCCTGGGACGTGAACATCTGTCCTCCATGAATTCTTATTTAGAATTACTGACCTGGAATTCCATGTCATAAATTATTCACTATCAGCTGTGCAAGGAGCATGGTAAGAAAAGCACTTGACTTTGGGAAAACACTCTGAACATCTGACAGTGAAAGAAATGTGCTTTTCACCGAGAAACTTTGTGACAGATTGAGTTTACAAAGTGCCCATGCTCAGTGTATCTCCATTCTTTTCAGTTCGGTACAGATGTTTCAGGAGATGCCACCAGTGAAGCTGACAGGAGCAGGCACCAATGCCACCTCCTCCTCCCCATGACACTTGGAGGTCATGTTGTAAGAGATTCCATCACCACCACCTGTAACCTAACCCTGAAGAGACACCAGTGACCTGCTGGAAGGTCTGAAGGTGTCATTAGAGCACTTCAGTGTGTGATACAACAGATTTGCTGCAAGGTGCTACCAAAGAGAGGCTGTGCCCAGTCATGTGCAGTCAGTGTAACTGTCAGTACACAGCTCCTCACAGCAGTCAGTGCTACTACTCACTGAAAATAAAGGAAAACATAGGATAAACTGCATTGTTATGAACACGGTTACATGTTATTCCAACTAGTTCCACGCTTTTTGGAATAAAAATTCTCCATTTCAATATCCCAGAACCACAAAGACTCCGATCTGCTGCAACACTAAATCCTTACAGATCCCTTTCTCCTCCTTTCCAACATAACATGGCTCTGCCATCCTACACAGAACATCAAGAACATTCAATCCACAGTCTACTCACATCAGTTTTTAATGACACTTCCTCCAAAATCCCTTTGCCACTTCTGGACACTTACCCTGTTGCAGAAATCACTTTACTTGAAGTCACATCCATTGAGAGTCCACTGGCCCCAAACCTTCCCTCAGTTGTCCACAGCAGTAACAGGAGCCAGGCAGTGACTTATTGCTATGCATTTATACATAAACTAACGAGACCTCCAAGGCAAAGGGAAATTAGTGACTCATGAAATCACCTTTTCTGAACAGTGCTCACTGAATTCTGACAACACGAGTCTTACTTTTAAAAGGAAGTGCCACTGAAAGGTGAATTCCCTACAATACTGTATCTTATCACACAGTTTATTCAAGTTTTGAAATAATTTTTATTAAAGTACGACATTCCAACTTTTCATGGTTTTAATTATTAAAATATATTACATCATATTATAGATTTCAAAAAAAGATAAGTTTGACAAAACATTACTCATAACTTTGGGACCACTTTTTGCTTTTTGTAAACATCCACCTCACCATTCAGTGATGAGCTGCAAGAAGTCAGAGGGGGATAATTCTTTAGTACACCTCTTTCTCAGGCTGCTTATCTTTAGGGAGCTGTTGTGCCGTGTATCCACTCACAACAACTTACACTGGAGAAATAAGCCATTTGGGAAGCACATACACATCTCCAAAAGAAATCAGACTCCTGCAGCACAGAACTGGGGACTCACTTGGCCAGCAGGGAACACAACAATCCCATAGTTAGGTAAATATGGCACATGCAGAGCACTGGCTACTCCACACTGCACTGTACACAGGGAGGAACAGGGCAGAGAGAACTGCAGCCCCTCTGAGAAGAAACCTTTTGTCAAATAGGAAAAAATGGAAATGAGATCATCAGAATGCTTCCTGTTTGGCTTAGGACCCACAGAGAGCCAGGAAAAATCAGGTTTGCATGTACAGACACACCACACTGTCCAAGCATCAGAAGGCTGCAAGCGCCCAGTTTACTGACCTGACTTTACATTAATTGGGGTCAACATGGACACTGCAGCGGGAGATAAGACAGCCCAAAGAAACTGTCTGCATTTGTGCTCTGCCTTCAGAGCAAGATCCAGACCTGAGGGAATGGATGCAAGGCACCTTGACACTGGTACTGCCTCTTACACAAGTACACCCTGTTTATTCATCTCTTTGAAACTACTGTAACAAAAGCACTTAAATCTCAGAGGGACAGCCCTGAACTGCACACTTACCCTCCCAGAGACACGGCAAGCTGCCCTCACCTGCCAGCAGTATGCTCCCAGTCTGTACAGGCATCACTGGAGACAGCAGATGGGTTCTTAATTGCTAAGTCTTGAGCCCAGAGCTCTCTCTCAGCTGCTGTTTAGCAGTGTCAGGCAGCAATCTGCTGGGACACAACCAGATTTTTTCTAATAGTGTAACTGAGTAACATGAACTTCAGGTGTCATTGAGAAGTGGTATTTTTTGGCAAAGACAAAATTGTGAGCACAGTAAACACCGAAAGCAAAGATTTAATATATTTGCTAGAACATTATATTGCTCAACTCCTGAATGAATTTATTTGCACGCACCTGCCCTTCCAGGGAATTGCAATGTTTATCAGAAGATGTTACAAACTTCTCCAACATATCCACCACTGCATTATGATTGCCTCAATAAATGTATAAACAGTAGTGATGTGTCCAGGAACACCTCCTACAGACACAGGTTTACCACCATTGTGGAGAGCGGAAAAAACCAACCTTTAAATCACTTTTGTAAAGGTAAAGTAATGCTGCATCATGTGCCGAACTAAGAGCTTTAGAAACAGCCGGTTCATCTCCAGGGATGACACAGGTAGCACAAGACTCCCCATACTTCTGCCAAAACAATGGTATTATGGCTGGGATAACTGTATAACTCCCAAGTTCTACTGAGTGTGACCAGAGTTCCTGCCATGGCCAAGCAGGACTCACCCAGGAAGAACTGCAATGAAGTGGCTTCCCAGCAGGAGCTCAGACAGGCTGCATGGGCTGAGCAGAGCCTGCATGCACAGCTTCAGCTGAGGAAGCTCTGACACCTTCCCATCATTCAAACAGTTCAGCTGCTGTTGTGGCTCAGCCTTGAAGCCCCTGGCCAAGAGCCTGATGCTCCCAGAACTGCAGTTCTGCACCCTGCACAGGGCACTGGCACTGCCCAGGGAGCCTCCCTGCAGGGAGGGGAAGGAGGGAGCCTCAGTTGGGTGTGTGAGCCAAAAGAAGGGGCTCTGCACTCGTGAAAGACTTCATGTGATTGTTAATAACCAAACAAATATATCTGCAACAATGAGGAAATGCACTTGACCATTTACAGCAAAACAGATTTATACAGTAAAAACAAGTAACTTATGGCCTTGCCTACCTGCAAATGAACTCCTTCAGCAGGTACACACAATATATTGCTCAGTCATAAAAATATATATTATCTCTTTCCTTTAACATTTAGGTATATAAATATTTTACTGAAGGACATGCATCATTTAGATAAACAATTGCAAGAACATCCTCTGAAAAACACAGGGTTCTTCGACATTTTGCAGTATAAAACGAGTACATAAACAGCTATTAAAGTCAAGACAAACCAGTACAGCAGGAAGCAGTTCTTGTGCTAGTCCAAAGCACCTTTTGCAACAGGTTATATGATACATACACAGAGAACACATTGGAAATGGAAACAGCATCATCCCATCTGCATATTCTTCAGTCTTGTTTGCACTCCAAACTTACTGTTCACTTTTCTGCTCTTGTTTTCCATTCAGCTCTTGGTCAACTCTGCTCAGCAAAGAAAACACTAAAATTAAGACTATGTTAACATACTTTGGTAGCTCATGTATTAAGAAAAAGTTATTAGTCTTAAAGGAAAACACAAAGCTTTCACATGGGAAAAGTTTTAGTAATTAAATATATTAAATTAAGGTTTTTATTTAATGCAGTCACAACATTGTTGGATTTTTTAAAATACCTAGAAATTAATTAATTAATAGGAATTGTTAGAAAACCATTTAAATAACTACAGCACTTGAGAGGAAACATTTAAAAAGTGCAAGTGAAGTTTGACTACAGAAGAAAAAAGTGCTTTTATTAAAAAATGCAAACAGGAATACAAGCTTACAGGTAATACAATAACACTGGCATTACTGTCTGAATGTTCCTGCATTACTGTTTGAATGTCTCTGGGTTGCATCCTGAATACAAGGGGCCTTGCAACAGAATTGGGCCAAATTATGCACACTGGGGAAATAAAAATCAAGCAGAACTATTGTTTGACAGTTACTGAAAGGGTTTCTTAAATTTGACAGGCTTAGTACTTCAGGTCACACACTGCAAAATTATCACTTCATTGGAATGATTCCTGAAGAATGTCCAGCACATCACTAGATTTACATGCTAGCTTTCAGAAAGAATTTAAATTCTATTTACTTTAATTGCTCAGTAACCTTCTACCCAATGTGGACAATAAGCTTCCCTCAATAGTTATGCAAACACAGAAAAAGTAATTAAAAAAGAAAAACAAAGTTAGTAGCAAAATCTTTCAGTACAATTGTTAGTGGGTGAAAAAAATAACATATCCATCCAAAAAAATGTCAGCTGCTGGAATAGCTTGAATAGTTAGCAGGAGACTGAAAATTAACAAAATGGAAATCCAACGTTTATTAGCAAGGAACATAGGCACTGCAAATACAAACAGCACTAAAACACTTATTTAGATTGCAACTGTGCAAGTTAATAACTAAAAAGGTAGTGAATACCAAGAATACAAGATTCAATATTAGAACTTCTTACAGAGTTGCATCTCTGCTAATGCACAGACAGCTTAGCACCTAAATACAGCTCATCTTCAGGCATCAGTGCTCCTTAGAGACAGGGAGATTGGATTTAGCAGATTCAGACAGAAGCACGACTTTTGCCTCTTGAAGACTCATTGAGAACACAGGTACCCCTCAGAAGTGAGCATCTCACAAAACAGTGGAATAGAAACTATTCCCACAGCTCTGTCTGAACCCCCAGGGTGAGTTTCTTTAGGTGATTTACTGCCTGCAAGTCCAGGGAGTTCCTTTCCTGCATAAAAACCGGGGCACTAGTGCATGTTTATATTTACAAATGCTTATTCCTTTATGCAAGCCAATCAACTGGGGGTTAGTTGCAGTGCAAATTGCCTTATCTAGATGCAACCCTAATCAAAATATGAATATACCTTTTCTGTTTCTTTCTAAACTTTTCTTCTTCATACCTTGGTGAGGAAAAGTTTTATTTCAGTAAATATAACATATGAAGGCCAAAATCAACAGAAGCTGCAAACTAGTATTAGTGTCAATACGGTCTGTAGAAACTTAGCAAGTGTTGAAACTGATATAATTAAGAAATACACAGTAGTTCCAGCATTTATAAGCATTAAACAAGAAGCATTTAATTACTATGACATAACAAATGAGTTCAATGAGACCTCTTGCATGGTATCAACATCCATCACTAAAATTTAAAGTCTGCATTCGTAAGAGTTTGAAGTCAGATATGATCCTCCAAATCTAGCAATGAACTCCCTAAGTTAACCCTTAGTGCCACAGGGTTTGTGTGTTATACCCTCCAACAGGCTGATCAGTTTATCACCTGGTTTTAGAGCCAAGTTTATGGTTTCTACTTTATTATTTCTATATAGCATTTGCACCCTCAAATGCTATTGACAAAAGCATCATCATCATTTTTGAGAGAAGAATTGTGCAGATGTTAAAATGGATATTCATATCTGGAGGGAAGGGAAAAATGTTACATTGATGCTGCCCTCCCTTATTTATCCAAGTTGTTTAGAACTGTAATGGGAAGGGATTCAGCACTTTCCCCACCACTGCTCTTCTTTCAAATGAAAGCCCAACCCAAGTGCTATTTCAGCACTGAACTTGTTGCTCTGAGGGACACTGAAGGTATTATAAATAACCTCAGTACCAACACGCCCAGCATTTCTCACTCACAGCCAGTTTAGCACATATATGAGGTGCAGAACTGGTGCCTTGTCTCTCAATCTGCACATCACAACTCGGTGATGGCACAAAGCACCAGCTGTGGGAGCCCCTCACCAGGAGCATTTTGCCTCCAGCTCCTCCACCCCAGCTGCAGAGAGCAGGGAGGGAGGGACACGGGCCCTGTCTGAGCTGACATCACCAGGCGCTCCAGTCAAACCACAGCGCTCACAGCACACACAGCCCCGGGACACGGACACTGAGGACAACAACACAACGTACTGTTTGATGCACTCGGGGATGCCAACGTACTCCATGGGGATGAGCTCAGCTAGCTCTGCCAGGGTGAAGACATACCTGATTTTTTGGCTGAATTTGGAGCTGTGGAAGAACAAATGCAGGGCACAGTTACAACTTCAACATTTCCAACTAGGCCAGTATTAAAACAGTTATTTATTATTAAAACGGCTGTCAGGATTACTGGAAACAGAGAAAGCTTCCAGAGTATTACCTAATAAAAGGTTTTGTGATGGCCAGGAGTGTTCTGATGAACCAAGAAGGATGAACTATAATCAGTGATTTCAGATTTTTCCTTAACCTGAAGAATTTAAACAATGAAAATAATTACCAGAAGAAAAAAGCAGCTTGACAACAAGGGGGTTTTGAATATGTACCAGGTGTGTTTCTGCAAGCCCACCCATCACATAAACCCAGTATTCTGACATTCCCTTTTTAGAAACCAACATCTGCCAGAAGAAAAAATGCTATAAAAATTTAAGACACAGTATCAATTTAATGACAATGAAATAACACTTCGAGAAAAGTGTCTTTGAATCTTTTTACACAACTAATGATGAAGTGGTTCACACATTATTAACCTTATATTAATACATTAAGTTTTAAGGATGTTCTACAAGATAACAATATTTAATATTCTAAGACCACTATTTTCACCTAAAGAAACCCCTCAACCCTACAAGTAACAACAACAAAGAAAAAAACACTGAAAAAAACCCCCAAACACCAAACAGCCCCCCAGGCATGTCTGGAGCCCTATCCCACAGTGTCCAGCTTAGGAAGGGGTTTTCAACAGACCAAGCCATTTCCTTGATCAATCTTAACCAAAGGGACCAGACACCACATTAAACAGCAATTTATCCTAAAAATGTCAATCACTGAGCATGTGAATATTGTAAGGAAACACTGCAGAGCCTCTTACCTTCTGTCAATCTGCTGGTAACACTTCCTGAGCCAGCCCAAACTGGGCATTTTCCGGCGTGTGGTTGCACCGTTCAGGTAAACTATCATATAGTTCTCAGCTACCAACAGCTCTAAAGTGCCAATCACATACCTGCAGAGACAGGAGACACTTCAGTGTCCTCAGCCTGCACTTCCTAACAATTCCTGTGCTCAAATATATTAAAAATACTGAAAAAACAGAGTTGGCAACAATGCTGAACAACATCTAATACATTTCTTTCCTTCCCCTGGAAGTAGAAATAGTTGCTTTTCTATTTGCTCCCTTTCCCTCATCTGAAATATAAAAAGCTTTATTAAAAAGAGAGAGAAGTAACTGTCCTTGTATTAGAATGCTAAGTTTCCCGAGGTGGAATTAAGACAGTATTGAGAGGCAGACGATGACTCACTTAAATAGATTGTCCATCAGGTATCTGTAGTTAGGCTGGCTGCTTTCAGGCATGAAGCAAACAGCAAACACAACGATGGCATTTAACCCATCACCATAATAACCTAAAACCAAAGAAACAGCAGCAGCAGTGACACAGGTGACTACTATTGACTACATTTACACAAAGCCAAGCACATTCAGTAAGCTTTTTCATTATTTACCTTAAAGAGATTTACAAACATCTACGTGGGCAGATTCTTACAGTTACAGGAAACCTCAAGATTTCAAGTTTGTCTACTTCTAAAGCAATAGCTGAACTCAATCAAATGCTGTACCTACAACCAACACCTCAGCATATTTAATAACATTTTATGTTATTTAAAGTTAAGTCAACTTTTCTTCCAACCTAAACTTCACAGACTGTGGGGTCATGAATTGATTTAAGCCTTAGTTACAGTTAGTGCTTTCAATTTAAAACCAAAGAAAAAAATGTATTGGTAGCAGTGACCCTGTAGAACAGATTAAATACATCTTATTACATATGTGCACTGTAGTACATGTGAACATTTTGGAACTTTAGTTTAATAGAGAAAAAATTATTAAATCAGCAGTGTCTTAACACTGCAAAAACCAAACCATCACAGGCCTTTATGCCCAGAGCTCTCCCGTGCCAGCCCAGCTCAGCTTACAGCAGCAGTTGCTCAGCAGTTCCCCCCATCACGTGGCCAGTCCTTACCCCCATGACTGATCACTTTTTTGTAGGGCTCGATGGCCTTCATGTCCACCCTGTGGTCCTGCTCTCCGATCCTGAACATGCGCCAGCGCCGCCCGTCATCCTTCTCCTCTGCCTCCCTGTACTCGGCCAGGGAGCCCTTCCTCAGCACATCAGTAGTTTTGGGTTTTGGAAGATCATCTGCCAGAGGCAAAGCACGTTCAAGATCCATCATGACCACTGTCCCAGGGCCAATCAGGTGCAGCACAGGTTAACCACTCTGCTGTCTGATGCGTTTTGGGGTTCTTTAGCCAGTCAGACAGAGCAGCTGGTGCCAGGGATGCTGTATCAACACGCTCGTGTTGGCAGCCATCTTCTGTGCTAAAATACGTGAAAAATTTCTATTCCTGTAGGAAGCCTAATTAACTGTAGGCTTTCAGAGCACAGAGCTCAGGGAATGTCACCAAAACAGACAAAGTGGTTAACCCCAACCAGAATTACAGAGGTTGCTTGATCACAGATTTACAAACAAGCATGATTAAAAACATTGATGGTACCTTGCAAGCAGACATGCAGGCAAATCTATTAGAAATTAAATCTAATTCACGTGTGTGGAATCAATATCTATGAAATTCATGTGACAGCAATCTGCAAGACAATTTGCACCAATTCAATGATGATTCTTGACTTTGTTGCACAGACCTTACCCAAAGCGAGAAAAACCTACTGCAAGTTAGTTGTCTGTTCCCAAGACAAAGCTGTTAATTGCAACTATCCTTCCAGGAAAATGAAGGCAGCAGCATTAAAGGAAGAAAAGACAGAAACCCTTTTCAGCCACTTTTAAAAACAAGACACAAACATCTGGAACAGTTCCTTGGCATCACAGCAAAACAACCCCTAAATACCAGTTCTTAAAACAATGAAACTCCTTTTACACAGGTAAATGCACAGTCTCTGCTAGGAAACCTTCACCTGCAACATGTCTTTAGCTATTTCAAAAAACAAAACCACCCCCTTTTTCTAAAGAGTGTTTCTTTCTCCACAGGTAATGTTTCAAGCATAACAGTGAGAACTTCCTGTTTAGTCAGGAATTTAAAGTATTTTATTTTCAGAATAAAAAAAATAATAATCGAGTTTACTTTACATTTTTAAGCTATGAAGTTTACAGATGTTAGAGACTTCAACACACTGACCAACACAACAGTTCTTGGCTTACATAAAAGGGCCTTAAAACATAATTAAACTCCAAGTTTAAACTTTGTGCTTCAACTCCTACACAAAATGTTTGCCTCAAATAACATTTGCTAGATTCTCCAAGTTTTGCCTGTAAGAGTAAGATCTGTTCATTTCTTAAAATTAAGATCGTTGATACTGTGGCTATAGCTACGTTAACTTCCCATCAAGTAATTTCAGAATTCCAGACACAAAATTGAGGCTCTTCTGCTGCTTCCAGGCCACGTGGAAAGCAAGCAAACCCTCAGGGTTTGCCATTCTTACCACAGGAAGATGTGAGACAGGTGTTACCCAGTGTTTCTAAAATACCCCTCAGTCCTCCCGAAACTGCAGCTCATCAGTTCCTGGGCAGGCAATCTCTGTCCCTCTGGATGTTCCCTCCATCTAAACTCACCTCTAACACATGGAAAACACCTTTGAGACTTTTTTCAACAGGGTGGCTTTTAAAAACAGACTGCAACAGAGAGGATTGTCCAGAACTCCGAGTCTCAGAGGTGATATACAGATGTATATATAGATGACACTCAGCTCAGTTTACCTGGAGTTACAGCTATTATTATGCTGCTTGTTTACTAATCAGGGGAGGCCTTTTGCTCTTTAGAAATTCATTGCACCTGTTTCCAATTTCTAATCTTACATTTTTCCTCTTGTAACACTGAGTCAAAGTTATTTCTTACTTGAGAAACTGCTGACCTGCACATAAGAAAACAGAAATATTTTAGAGCACCTGAGCAAAGGACCAAAATACCTACCTTCCCATTCAAATTCATTACTGTTTTCTGAAGGAGTATCTATATCATCCAGATCAATCTCTCCACTCTCATCCAGGTCATCAGACAAAACAGTTTCCTCACTGGGATCCAAATTTAAGCTGATCTCTGGAGCCTCTAGTTTCTTCCTCACTTTGGTTCCATTAACCTCTGTATCTAAACAAAGCAAATTATTTATTCCCAAAGCTAAATGAGTTCAGACAAGCAAATTAATAACACAGAACAGCACTGTCCTCTTTCATAAGACACTGTATGCTCCTGCCAATAATTCAAACAGTGTATCTGTGGATTAAGACTTTAACATGGGATGAAAAGAACAGGAGGTAAAAGATCTCAAGACCATGAGTTTACCCGGTTGTTGCAGACACTATACTAAATAAATCCTGCAAATAATACAATAGATTCATGTCCCTACCCTTGTTTTTGTTAGGTATCAGTAACATCATAACCACCTTTGATGAAATAAAAAATAACACACAAGTTGAAAAAAAACCCTGACAGACAACAGTGAGGACAGAAAAGGGAAGAACCTGTTTGTGAATACACAGAATGCTCTCAGGCACAAGGCAAATGCTGGTGTGATTTAGACAGCACTTGAAAGCAGGGAGTAACATCAAATTACTGATCCTGCACTGGAAATGCCACAAGTACAGCACAAAATCCAAAAAAATTGAAAATGTAAAAAGATGCCATTTATATTATTCCCCCTCTGACCACCAAGACAGGCAATGCTCATAAATGGCCACCAAAGTCTGAAATTGTCCTAATTGCTGCACAGAAGTCAAGTAATGAACAAAGACTTTAAGGCAGATGAGGAGGTGGGTGCAGTAATTCCTCACTGTCCAGCATTACCTGGATAGCTCTGCTCAATGGGAGCACAAAGACTCTCGTGTTTTTGTTCCCAAACCCTTTTCTTTCCAGACAAGGTATTTATAATACCCTTCACAGACAGTGAAGTGTATTTTACAATGCTGTTTCCTCAAGCCTGACTCAAAAAAGAAGAGCCCAACCCAAAGAAACCAATCCAAGAAACCCCACAGAGCCAAAAACACCCTGAAGCAAAATGGAGCTTTAAAACAGCAGCTCAGTGGGAAGCAGCTGGACTGCAGTGGAAGGTTCTTACCAGCCTGGCTTTCTGTTCCAGCTGCAGCCAACGTTTCAGACTCAACAGGGTCATCCTCTGGCAGGGGCCTGGGACACGAAGTAGAAATTATTGTTACAAAACTTCCTTTTAATTTCTTTTAATGCCAAATATTTAGACTTACACACTGCTAAAAAAACCACTGTGGGATAGGACTGAACTAAATTTACTTCTAGCCTAAGTTCAAGTTCTCAGTAAACAAAGCACCAAAGTAGCAGAAAATTCCTTTACAGCACTCAAAGACCGTGTGTTGATGTGACAGAACACTGATTACTACCAGTGTGCCACCCTTAAGGAAACCTGTCACGTCCCTGCTGGACAAACTTTAATACAGGACAGCAGTGGGTTAGTCACATCATCACAGAAATGCCTCCAGTCAGCTGAGCAGTTCCTCTGCAGGCCCAAGCATCAGAAGCAGCCTTAACTGTTACAGACTGCTCAGAAACGTTGCTCAGTGAAATATCTGGCCTTGAGACAGCAGTGATAATATGCAAACAATGCAGCTGCAGAACATTATCACTGAAAATAAACAAAGCCAAGCTCACAAACGTTCACTGCAGTAACACTGGGAGTGTCAGCAGTGCCAATCCTGCACTGCCCTTCCCACACCACAAAACCCTTTCAGGACTGCTATATTAATAGATATTAAATATGTGTTATTAATATATCATAACACTACATTCAAGATTATTACTGAGTACTAGTTCACCAGGAAGACAGGGAGGTGGCTTATTGTGGATGTTGTGTGTTGGATCTGAATGACTCTAAAACAAAAGTCAGAACCTTGGGAAATCTTCATCTTGCCATTCTTCCTTGAACTCAACACCTTCCATTCTCCAGCCAACCTGAACTGCTAACAGAGACTCCTGGTCAGCCAGAACCCCTTGTCTTCAGGACAGTGGGCTAAAGAGGAGCTGCAGGAACACAAAGATGATGTTGCTTCAATACTACTGGAATTCCCACACTGGTAACACCCCCTTCAACTCAGCCCCACATCGAGATATTATGCTGAATAAAAACCAGAACAGCTCAGGGAAAAGTTTATGGTTTCCGTGTTTCCATTTTACTTTGTTCCCAAACAAAACTGTTTATGGGATGGCTGATCATCCAGTAATGTAGGCTGGAAGGGATTTCATGTTATCAAGGAGGATCAGCCTCTCAGTTAAAATCCAGCCCTTGAGCAACCTGATTTATCATTTATGATGACAGCAGTTCACTCCAAAATGTAAGAAACCTGACATGTCTCTAGATTCTACAGGAGACAATGACTAAGTGTATATTTTGAGGAAAAAAAAAATCCAGATGGTCAGATCTAAAATACAACCCATTTAAAAATTAAAACAAAAACCAACCAACCCAAACCCTTAAAAATATAACTGTTTAAGAGGGTGTTTTCAGAGAACTCACCCTGGGATGTGCAAGGGAAGCTGTGTTTGTGCAGGCTCACCCATCACCAGCAGCAAGGGATCCCCGGCAACGGAACGTGACAAACCATCCTGCTGACACACAAGGCCAGACCAGCTGAAGCTCTTGGCTGTGTTGGCTCTAAATATTGACAGAAACAGGCAACCTTATCAATGATGGAACACCATTCAAAACAAGAAACAACGGCACTTTTAAAGGCAAAGGAGCAATCAACACAGAACACCAGTAAGTACAAAGTGCAAATGCAACCACACTGCCATTAACTCAGATGTGTGGGGCTTTGAAAAAGAAACAAATTACACTTTTTTGCCCCCAGGGACCCTCCACAGTGGGGACACAGTGGCTACGCCAGGATGGAATGAACCACCTGATGCAAACACAGAGCTGAAAGAAAATCTGACCTGCTGACTCCACTCCTGGGGTCAGACGGAGAAATGGATAAAAATGACAGAACAAACACCCAAACACCCCTCCACCCCCCCATCAGCGTGCTGGTGGCTGTAAGAGGCTCCTCCTGAGCTCACCTGCACTGCACTCTCAGTACAGTTCCCTCACAGTTTACAGCCGGGTTTTCCTCCAAGACTCCCACAGTTTTCTCACCACGCTTTTGAAAAACACCAGACATCCAGCAACTCTACTGATTTCAAATGCACAGCATTCCAGTGCAGAGGCAATTCCTACCTGCTTGTATTCCATAACACTGAGATAAACTTACTACGCTGTTATCAAAGTTTAAGGTACTTTTCCAAAACGCTCCCCACATGACTTGCAGTATTCTTGCCAGCAGCTTCTTATTAAGGTGGATCAGAGAGCAATCATTTGCTAAATACCACACAACTGAAAGCAACTTCCAAGGCCAGCTCTGAGTTCAATTCAACATCAGACAAGACTGAATTTTGGTTTTCAGCATCCTACTTAGCGTGCTGACTGAGTAGTTGTTTTGGATGTTTTTACTTCAAGTCTCATGTATAAAAGCACGATCATTTGTCAACCAGAAGAAAGAGAAATTAAGGAGGAAGGGTGATCTCCTCAAGGAAGTTAGAAAAGTGATGACTAAAGTAATTTTTCATCAATTAATATAAATGCTTACAAGCAGGGGAAAAAATTTCTGCTTATACAAACTAAAGCTGAGTTTAGAACAGTCTTCCTGCCAGTGCTGTGGCAGTGCTGACACCTGCTTTTAGTGAACCAAAGTCTTTTCAATTCAGCCGCAAAACTGAAATCTAAAAACTTCATTTGAAAAATGCCTTATGCTGTAACAATGCCGGTATTTATCAGACATGTAGAAAAGTAATTAATTTCTACCCGATCCAGGCACTCCCCACGGTCAGCTCGTGGTTTCTGAGAGCAGCAAACCTGACCTTACTCTTTCTAGTTTGCTTTGTTTCGCCCCCTGGGTCAGCAGAAACAGTAACTCTTCATTCCAGGTGTGAAAGAGGTGCCTCTAAAAGTCACCTTCCCGTTTGATTTTACAGCAAGCCAAAAGCAAGGAACAGACACATTTCCTGGGGCACAAACCCACGTGACGGAGCTCGTGGCAGTTTCTAAATGTTTTCATAATTCCAGTGGCTTTCAGAAGCCAGGACACCCTTCCCAGATCTCAGACAGACCTCCAGACTGTATCCCTTGCAAGTCTGCATCAGGTCACACAGGGGCTGCTCATTGTTTGCCTCCTTTTCACTGCCCTCCCTCAGCACTGAAGAACAGAGAAACCAGGCAGCTAAAAGAGAAAAGCTCTGACAACACTCCAGCTCTGCCCTCCGAGGACACTGCTCTGAAACCCACCCCCAGAGAGGGATCTGCATCCCTGTCCCCTCGGACTCACCCGCAGGCAAACACTGACTGCTGTCACAGGGAACTCACACCCTGCCCAAACACAGCTAATGCTGCTCGGCGAGACCCGGGGACGCACACGAGTCACCCCAACACAAGCACCTGCTATTTACCGATTGCGTTAATAGCAGCAAACAAGGAGGGACTAACACAAAAGGCACTCCAGAGCAACCCTTTGGCTCTGCGGGACCGGGACATCCCGGGGCAGGGGGGACATCCCGGGGCAGGGGGGGACATCCTGGGGCAGGGGGGACGTCCCGGGGCAGGGGGACATCCCGGGGCAGGGGGGACATCCCGGGATAAGGGGGGACATCCCAGGGCAGGGGGGGGTTCCAGCTGGGATGGAGCGCTCACAGCTCTCCCTGCGCAGGGCACGGTGGGGCCGCAGGGTCCCTGTCCATCCCGGGGGGGGTCCCTGTCCATCCCTGTCCATCCCGGGGGGATCCCTGTCCATCCCTGTCCATCCCGGGGGGGTCCCTGTCCATCCCTGTCCATCCCGGGGGGATCCCTGTCCATCCCGGGGGGATCCCTGTCCATCCCGGGGGGATCCCTGTCCATCCCTGTCCATCCCAGGGGTCCTGTCCATCCCGGGGGTCCCTGTCCATCCCGGGGGGATCCCTGTCCATCCCGGGGGGATCCCTGTCCATCCCGGGGGGATCCCTGTCCATCCCTGTCCATCCCGGGGGGGTCCCTGTCCATCCCGGGGGGGATCCCTGTCCATCCCGGGGGGGATCCCTGTCCATCCCGGGGGGGCCCATCCCTGTCCATCCCGGGGGGGGTCCCTGCCCATCCCTGTCCATCCCCGGGTCCCTCCCCGCCTCCCTCGCCCGTCACCGTCAGCACGACGCGGTTCGGCCGAGCCCCGGCCCGCGGCTCCGGGATTGCCGCCCCCGTCCCTGCGGGGGGATACCTGCGAGCAGGGTCGGCAGGGACAGCACGGACAGCAGGGACACAGCCAGGGACAGCAGGGTCGGCACAGACCAGGCCGGGCCGGGCCCGCTCACCCGGAACAGAATCCGCCGCCTCCTCACGTGACCCCGCGCCACTCGCGCGCACGCGCCAACCGGGAGGGCGGGGCCGGGAGCGGAGGAGGCGGAGCCAGGAGACAGAGGGGGCGGGGTTAGTAGAGAGAAGGGGCGTGGTCGTGAGGGAGGGGGCGGGGCCTGGAGAGAGGGGGCGTGTCCCGGATAGAGAGGGGGCGGGGCCGGGCGGGAGGGTGCTGGTAAACCCCGACTTCTGTCACAAAGAAATGTGGAAAGAATTAAAAAGTGACGTAAAGGTGCAGAGAAAGCACGGAGGAAAGCACGAGGAAGAAAAATAACACTGAAGAAGAAAAGAAAGCACAGGCACCACCAACCAGCAAAGACAGAATCTGCAAATAACAGGGAAAAAAAGCACAATTATTAAGGTAAATTAATTAGAGCATTGAAAACACATTCATAAAGAAGCAGTATCATGCACAGCAAGTGGCCTGAGGCCTGGACACATTATCATATAAAAGTTACAAATGTAAAGCAAGAGCTGCTTAAAGAAAGAGTCTGTAACCACTGGTGGGGAGAAATACAGTAAGGCAACAAAAGGGACAAAATTCATCCTGCCACCTTTGTTTGTCGCTGGTTTTTGTTTGTGGGGGTAAGGATGCAAGGAGATGACCAAACACTCCATGCTGCAGGATGTGATTATTTTCAGCTGCTCCCCCCTGCACACCAGTGCTCCTCCTGTGGAACTTCCCATACCAGCTGTCAGAGCACAGATTTTGAGTCAGTGCTGTTCTATTCTGGCATAGATGAAGTAGAAAATGAGATGAATTTATGTCGAGAATAATTCTGTTGCCCAACAGATAATTTTCCTTGACTTTCAGCAGAGCAATAAATAACGGACCACCATGACTTACTAAGTGAAGAGGGTGGAAGTTTTCCAGCAAATTAACATTTTAAGAAGAACAAAATGTCGTATTAAATACTCACAACGCTTTTCTCGACGTGCTGATGACCGCAGAGCTGTGTTTAAAGGCGCAGATGTCACCTCAGGGCTCAGCGCTCGGTGCAATTGTCACCTCCGACACGGGGTGGCACAACGAAGCCGGGAATCCATCGGCTGTGAGAGAACACACCGTGAGAGCTCAGAGCCAGCTGCCCGGGGACGCTGAATAATGCCATTTCGAAACATCAGACAAGTGCAAATATCAGCGTTTTCTGACACGGGAGCGTTACCAAAGAGAACAGGCTGGAAGGAATAATGCTCTGTTGCGTGAATTTTGTCCTCAACATGGGAGGAATGAACTGGTAACTCAATTTTGGGGTCTGGGGTATTTCACAATTAAACAGAAATTAGTCATCAAAAGCAACAGAATACGAGACATCCATCTTTTTAATAGTCCTTTCACATTTTACATATTAGAAAAATATTTTCTAGCAATCTAAAAAAAACCCCACCAACTAGGTGAAAAATGCCCCCCTTGCAAGTGGTTCAAGCAACAGTTCAGAAAGGCTGGAATCTGAACACATTAATTTGAATGTCTCTGTGGGGCTGATGCAGAGACTGCATTTGTACAGAATTCCTTCTTGCTGTTTCCCCTGTGCAGGAAGTTCAAACACTGCTGTGGGATTTGGTTTTTCCCCCAACTTTATTTTGGCCTTTTTTTGATGGTAAGGGCTTTGGGCTGTAGTTTGGTAGCCCACACAAATGTAACTTGGCTGCTGTCCTGGACACCTGTGGTACAAAATTCCAAGATCAGCACATCATGAGCATCCACTTTTCTCTGGCAGAGAACAGTTTGTTGCCTACAAACAACCATCCTGCTACGAGAGAAAGCAAGAGCCAGCTCGGCAGCCACGAGAGTCTTTCTGTCTGTATTGGTGTTATGATTATTTAGTTTATAGAATCCATGGATGTTCTTCATTACTCTTTAAATAAGATCTCTGTATCTGCAAGGGAGAGGTACTAAATGCATTGCTGTTAATACCATATTTGCTAATTTCTGTGCCCTCGAGGAAAGTGGATATTAATTTCACTTTGGCTGAAAACTGAGGGACCTATTAACTGTGGGAATAATGTGGGAAAATAACAGCAATAGGAGATCTCTTGCATCTGCCTCTTCCAGAGGAGGACTGTGAGACAATCCCAGTGCACCAACAGCACTGCAGACAAACCCGTGGTTGTGCCCTGTTAACTCACAGTCCTTAATTTGTACTGGCAAGTCTGCTTGTCTCAGGAAAAGGAGACAGTTACACATAGGCACAGATAACTTTTATTTTCTGAGGTCATTTTCTGCCCAGTTATTTTTGACATGGTAAACATTCTTGTCTTTCTGTGCCTTGTAAAAAAAGGTCTGATCTTTGCCATTTGCAGCATCAGATTGATGTCTACAATAATGCTGTGTTAATAATACTATTTGTATCATATTGTGGCCTAAATCCAGTATCAAGTGTGGATGAATCACAGTAGGAAAATTATTTGTGCATAATCAAAAAAATCTCCTTCATAGGAAATAGCTTGAGTTCTCAGACTGTGTTTCTGTGTGCTCTGATGGTCAGGCTGTTTTTCCTGCTTGGTGCAGGATGCATTCAGTGATCCTTGGTTCAGCTCAGTTCTAACAGGCTCTGAAAAAAACACAAACCACATGAAGCACCCTGTTACATGGACAGAAGATATCTTTGCTGGTTGAGCTCGAGGGGAAAACTGGGTACAATTATATATTCTTTTAATTATTCATGACTTGGGTCTGAAGTGAATGTGTATACATTTTTCACTTATTCACTTTATAAAATTCAAAACCAAGCCCAGAAGCAGTTTTATTCTTGGCAGCATGACAAGTTTCCTTTCCTCAACGAGCCAGTCAAAGGAATTGTTCCTCAGAGAGTTTGTCATCCCCGTGCATCCCAGGGAGGCAGGAGGGAAGCTGGCATTCATTACACCCCTTCACACATCTGTGTGTACACTCCCTCCTCTCTGCCTGTGACAACAAGCCCCTCTCAGAGGACTGTGTTTGTATCCAGCCTGTGCTTTCATTTGTGCAGCTGATTTGCAGTTCATTAATCTAGAAAGTGTTGCCCAGCTCTGGAAAGGACAATGTCTCCATCCACATTCTGCTTATTCCACCTTCTACCCCCCCTGCAGCACAGTTTGGAGAGAGGAATTCTGCTGGTTTGGGGAGAAACTGCAGCTAGAGCGGCCCAGGAGCCAAAGCCGATGTAAACACACTCCAGGAGGTTGTTTTGATGTGGCCTCTCAGGCTGCTGGCAATGCCCTGTGCTTCCTTGGGAGACATGCAAATTTATGGGACACAACCTGACACGATGAAGGCAGTGCATACAGAGGAGGTAATTGCCCTTTGGCAAGGGAATGATGGCAAGAGCCAGCCGTTCTTTACATTCTTGGCAGTGCAGGTAGGATCATGAAATCAGGGGCCTCTCGGAGTTTCATTATAATTTAGGTGTTGGATTTGCTATTGTTTAAAAGATGTTTGTCCAACATTTATGGCTGTATTCCTATCAGTTGTTTGTCTTGCAGGGGAACCTAAGAACAATGGTCAGTTTGTAGTCATCAAAACCTCTCTCTGTGTCTGCTGCTATCATGACAGCTTATGATAGCTCGTTGAGTTTGGAGACAACAACAACAACAAAGAGGAGTTAAAATAATGCCACAGGGAGACATCAACTTCTGCTGCTCACTCACAGCAGTGGGGTTCCTCACTTTGAAAGGTAATTATCAGAGACACTGACACCCCTTGTTGGCAGACACATGCTCAGAACTCAGCCAACATGCCCGAGCAGAGTCAGATCCAGCTTGTGTCAGGGTTAATGAGGAATTACTGATCGCTCCCTGGGAATCTGGGGGCAAGAATGGCTGAACTTAAGGTGAAAGACTCCATATCCTATTAGCACTCCCCTGAGTCAGCCTAGCAAAGAGCCAACTGCAATGTCTTAATTACCCTGGGTTAGGACCAAGAACAGGACCTGCACTCAGGAT